CTCTTGTCTAGCTCGGGCGATCTGAGGATAGTCCCTCAGGCGGTGCCCCCGTTGGTCGCATATATGGCATGCAGGGGGAAGGGTGGCGGCTCCGTAGTGGGCTCTCTGCCCACTCCCTCCTCCCCCAGTGCGCTGCTGCTCATACTCTGCTTCTAATTGGGCTACCCTTCCAGTTAGCCCTCCTACCGTGGAGTGTAGCTCCCCCACCTCGGACTGGATGGTCTCAACGGAGGACTACAGCTTGGTCATATTTCGGCTCATTTTGTCATCTACTTGGGTTATCCTGTCGTTTATCCCCCCGATGCCGGTCTGTATCCCGGTTACCCACCCCGGGGTTTTCTCACGGAGTCTCTGGGGCTCCCTTGCCCGTCCCCTTATTGCGCTGGCGAGCTCCTCCTCCTCGTCTGGGAGCAGGCTCGCGATGGCGCACTTTCGTCCCGACCCTTGGAGTTGCGCTTGCTCGCGGGAGAGCTCCTCGCACTCAAGCGCTCGCTCGACGAGGGTATCAAAGGGGAGGCTTGCACTACCCTCTTACCGCTGCCGTCCATGCCCCTAATCGCTTGCAAACGGCACCTCCAACAGTTCGCTCAGTGGTCGCCATACACTGGCGTGCACAGGCGAAGTAGAGATGGTTGTTTGTGGACCCGTGGGGGTGTCCAGGAAGTAAGGGGCGTGTTTCGACGCGTTCTGCTTTCTGTTGGACGGGAAACTTTGTTTTCTCCATTACCCGACTACGCGAATGTTGGACGTGCAAGAGTGCATCTGTGTCAAATTGAGTGAACGCCAAAGGCGCTCACGAATCGGTCGCCCTAACTGAAATGACACGACTACTCGCTTACGTCCTGTAACTGTAGAAATTGAGACAGTGATTTTCTGGCTTATACTGTCCTTGCAAAATTTGGTTAAGTGGTAAGAAATAAGGTGCTTAGAAACAGTTCACCATTGACGTGCTGCAAAGAGCCCACCACAGACAAAGTTTTGTTGGGGCTACTGCCCCCCCAATTCCTCTCCCCCTCCCTCCTCTTCTTCATGCCTCTCGTCACTGCCGCTTCTCCTCTATGAGACAACTCTCGGCTGGCTCTTGGCCGCCTCGGTCATTCACACACCCTCCGCGTGCATTCCCTTAAACATTAATAGGAACTACCCGCACGTTGCTGCTCAGCCCCGTGCACACACTAAAAATTGCGCGGCAGCTGCCTGCGCATGGCTCACCTCGGTCGATTTATCTCTACGCGACACCCGCGCGGCGCGGGCGGTGAACGCTACGCTGCCGCTCCCGTGCAATAGTGGATCAGCGGCCGGAGGACCTGCCCGTTAATTCCCAGGGCAACCGCATGCTACGGATGATACGGCATGCATGTTAAGCCCCGAGTGAGCACGCATGGGCGAGCGCAACACGTGAGTAAATACGCCCTCGCGCGCAAACAACGGCACCGACGTGTGGTCGTTTTATCACTGAATACGCACGCGCTCTTTACGAACGCCTGTACACACACCACGTTACCACTCTCTCCACACTTCGCAGAAAACACACGAAACGGTTTATTGATTACTAATGGTTTATTCCCCGTGTGACTGAGATTACCCTCTACATGGCTCGGAGCTGAAATCTGCAAGGAAACCACTCTGTCTCTCGACAATCTGAACCCAATTCGCCCGGCTTCGAGTTACCCTCTCAAGGGGTTCTTATGCTATTCACTATCTCCCTCTCTCTCGTACTCATCGTTCGACTCATATGGCCCGTCCTCACAGCACATCGACTCGTCACACGGACGTTCGAGTGGCTGGACTGGAGAGTCGACCGTCCCGATGGCTGACATGAGAAGAACCGACCTCTTTCCCTCTCTATGGCCCTTTTATTGTCTACTACATCAAAGGGTCCGGGTGGTTAATCCCGCGGCCTTCCTGGCCAATCAGATCGCTCTGGCTCCTTTCGCCCAGCCTCATCTCTTGCCTCGGTGCTCTCAGCGTCGTTTCCCATTCCGATTTCCATATCAAAGGGACTGCCGCGGGGCTGCGGCTTTGGTGCACAAGCACAATTGTCCTGCCAATTCGACGCCCGCCCTGGTTTCCCGCCGTTCGTGGCTCCGCCCCCTACCTACCTGCTAACCTGTGTGTGTTGTGTGTCTTAACCACGGGGCTGAGTAGCCTCGTCGTGACCGTGTAATTCCACGTTAATTCACGGTGCCGCAGCGCCATTCAACCTGGAGGAAGCCTCGGTCAATTCCTGGGGGAAAACCTGTGGGCCAGGCGACTTCCCCGCGAGGCTCTATGTGGGGGTGTGTGCGTGTGTTCATGTGGGTGGTGGAGAGGGAAGAGCAGTGTCGACCAGGCTGCTTGATGGTGGTGGGTTGGCAGGTGGGGCACCGGCAGAGCCGCTTCGCCACTGTGGCATCACAGTTTCCCTTAATTCCTTTTCATTGTTTAACCGAGCTGGACCAAGATGTTGTATTGAGTCAAGCTTCAAGGCTCGTGGGTGTAACTTGGTAGCAGAGGGTTGCATAAAGGCAGCACGGACGGTGTCAATCTGTGCAATCGCCATGTGCTCGTGTCCCACCCCTGATTGCATGCGTGTTTCTACAATACCGGGCAAACACGGCTACCTAAACTGAAGAAGCTAGCGAGTACCACAGATGCCTTCCCTCGAACCTTGTCACCTCTTCGAGATTCATGTCTCCACTGCTGGATGGTCTCAAGCCGCTATTTGATTCAATCTTTTGATATAATAATCCACCTAGTACCAGCACACTAGCCGATTACATCACTCCATCATCATTGCCATCACCACCAACTTCATTATTGTTACCATCAGGTTGGTCAGAAGCTGCCGCAGCTGACCAGTACCTCAACCGTGCTGGACGAAATGCCTGCGGCAGCCTCCACTCTTGCATCGGCCTCCATGCCCGAAGCAATCAATCTCACAACTTCGGAGCAGCAGATGTGTGGTGCCACGACCGCGGTGCGACGCGAACGCCGCAATCCCTTCCCGGCCACCTGCACTGAACACACACCCGCATGCAGCGCACCCACGTAGTGTCCTGGTGGGAGGTTGCCTGGTACATCGGGTTTTAATCCGAAGGGCCCCTAGGTTTCCCGGTGCCAGGAGATTGGCCGACCCCCACAGGACAGGTTACATTGCGGTGCCCCTAAATTGGCTTTAAATTGTACGGGCGCAAAAAAAAAGGTTCCTTCGGCCAACCGCAATGAGTTACTCACAACATTGGGGGGAGGACGAAGGGTGGAATATTAGGCGTAAAGAGAAAAACCGAAGTCTCGAACAACTGGGCACGGGAGAGCAATGGGTGGGCGGGGCGGCAGCAAGAGTATAAAGGTGGGAGCCCCGTGACAGCTTGGAGATTGTCTCCAACCTCCAGGCTGTCACGACCCACTTCCTGCCTGCTGTCCTGCCTCTTCAAGCCGCTCACAACATCCGTGTGATGCCAGCGAGTGCTGCTGCGAGACAGTGATTGGGCAAGACTTCTCTCGTCATTCTCCCTCCAATTTTCTCAGCGTCCATGGGACGCCGCGATTCCAGTTTCAAGGTACGGGGTAGGACGTTTGAGTAGCTGGGTTCATAGGCAGAGTTACGCTAGGCTGTCCTCGCGAAATATTCCTCAGGGTAATGTGTATTGGCGCCATTAATAAACTCTAGTTCAGAATATCGGTGTAGTGTGATTTGTGTGTGGGCAGACCCTCGGCGTAGCGTCTGTGATCTGTGTGGTGCGTCTGCGTGGAGCGATGGTGTGCCCGGCGTGAGAGCGGGTGCAGGGCTGCAGAGTGGGTGTGGTGATTTGAGCGTGCGCGTGACGCACGTGTACTGCAGCCGCCATCGTTTGCGCGTGTTTACGCTCGCGTTGTTTATACAGCGCGCTTTATGCAGCGCGTTTAGACAGTAAAAATAGCGCCTATCCTTTTCCGCTAGCATTAGATTTGCGGGCACACGGATTAGGGGGGGGGGTAGGTGTGCATATTCATACTGCCGCCGTTTTGTTCAGCGCTCACCTTTGCGAGGGAAAAACGCACCTACAGGGGCGCACTCGTGCACACCTCGTTCGTTCTTGTCCTTTTGTGGTGGGGTGTGTGAGCATGTGGGAGATAACCCCGGGCGGTGGTGAGCCAGCCGAGTAGTTATGTCCCTCAGAATGGGCGCTGGCGTGGGGGGACCGATCACTTGATCAGCGGCGGCCCGGAGAGAGGCAGCCGACGAGGAGGGGGGAGTGGAGGGGGTGGACGTCGCGCCCTGCCCGCTCACTGGGAGCGGGGAGGTGGACATCATCCCCCACAGATGCTACCGGAATTCTCCTCCAACTAGGGGATGAATGTTTCATGCTCGCTGAGGTGAGTGACCATGTGCGGGGTATACATCATCACCGCCTCACACAATGCAGATTACGTCCTCGTTTCAGCGGTGGACACAGCCCAGCGTGGCTCATTTATTATCATCCTTGCTCCTTGAGGGTCGTCCAGCTCTGTGGGCCCAGCACCTTCTATTATTCCCTGCCCCTTTCCTCCCTTGAGTTAACATTTGCTTTTTTTACAAGGTTTTAATGTATGCTCGGATAAGCTTATGTCCATCCATCCCAAGTTGAACTCTTATTATTTATGTACATTAAACAAAAGCAATTTGACAGAGCATCTCTTCTACATTCACCCCTTGAGATCACATCTATTTACGTGGTCGGGGCCCACGTAAAAGCAAATTGAGCCAAGCGGCACAGTTCAAGGACTGCACGGCCCACTTGGCAGGTTTGACCCATTCAGGCTTGTTATTGTTTCGAGACTGTGGCTACGGTTGCCCTAACCCCCTATTTCCCATAAAGCCTGAGTATTGCCAACCACGGCAGTTTATAGGAGCATAACCCCCGCGGTTGGCAAGGGATTATTGTACACCTATCTTCCTGAATAAAGTCTTGACAACTGACACATTTGACGAAGTTCATCACGTTGTGATGCCGAACATGAGTAAATCACCTGTCAGTGGAGAGTACACAACAACCAAGTGGGGATTTCAGACTACGTTACTTTAATCCAGATATAAGACAGTTGGGGGTGGTAGATGAGGTGGGAGAGGATGAGACCGCCTGAAGTGGGGCGAGATGGCTGGGAAAGGGGAGGCCGGAGGAAGAAGGCGGGCACCGTGAGCAAACACGCAGAGGGCCACACTCAGTATAAAAGGTGTCCATAACAAACATGAAATGTACTTCTGATGAACAAATTATTTTGCAGTTGAATGGGTGGCAAACCATCGCTATCCCTGACTCCACCCAACTTTGTTATAGATTAAGGCACTCTCGTATGGTTTTCCTATACAGTAAGCTTGTCAAGTTTATTCTTGTATAAACACATGTTACTTTGGAACAGTTGTCATGTAAAGGACTAATGATAAATGCTACACCGTAAGGTGAGGTCCGTTGCTCATGCTGAATTGATCAATGTAATCATTTTAACGTCTACCATATAATATATACTCCCACAGTGCTTTTGTTCATAGTAAAGCACACAGCAGTAGCAGCGAATGAAACAATATATCCCAAGGAGTGTCCTACTCTCAGCCAATACCAATCCTGGCAACACCTCCATCCTGTAATATGGACGGTTGGCAAGAATGAAGAAACACGAAAAACAAAAACCCCAACAACCAAAAAACAGTAAAAAAAGGTAAGCATAGAAATTGATAGATTTATCTCTTAAATTGCATGATGTTAAAACCAGACTGGCCGTTCTACTTTTTTTTCTGAGACTTATTGTATTTTTGACCAATTCCAAACGGCACATGTGCCGCCACAGTGCCGTGCTCGTGTGCACCCTCGACGTGAAACATTTGATCATCAAAAAAAACATGGGGCCTGATCTTTTCAAGCAGCGGTCCTTTCGGGGCACCGGCCAAGAAGAGGGCTTCGTCGACCTCAAGGCCCCACGTCCGCAGGGTCTTCAGGGCCCGAGCCCCCGAGCTGGCAGCGCTACGTGCGGTTACCAAGTAAGTGCGAATGGGGCACCCCAGCCGCTCGCCTTTCACGTGAAACTTTCTCTGCATGCGGCCTAGGGTCTCCAAGAACATCTTCAGTGGGCCCTGGAGATAAATAATTAAATGTGATATATATGTTTTTGTTATACAGTTGCTGGGCACTGCCCCCCAAAGGCCCAATATGCCAGCAACAAACAGCAATGTCAAAGTTGTAATATATAAGGGTTAACATGTTTAATCAATTGAGCAAGGTGAAAAGAGCTTGGTGAAAAGAGCTTGGGGAAATAGACAATTGGAGGGAATTCCAAAGTCCAACAGTGCAGGTAATATAACATTTGTTAAATATCTTACACTTTTCATTAGCGCACTCGCATTACATTCACCGTATGAATATTTCTGCCGCGAGTCAAAATAAATTAATAGGTGCAGAGCTATACCTGGGCAAGGGGATTGTCGACAAACTTCTTTTCATGTTCAAAGAAGGTATCAAGTCCATGTTCCTTAACTATTATCTCCGATTCATCTGAGAAGAGTACCGCGTCGCCATCAAACGCCACACGCAGCTCATCATTTTTTAACACGCGATCCTCCGGTGGGTTGAACATGGTTGCCGCAGCAATCCCTGTGCAAAGGAATTAAGTCACAACACCGGGACATTACTCACAAGTATCAGACTTTACAGAGAGAAACACGTCTGTTATGCACTGAATATTATTTAAATTTCCAAAATGTGTAATCCGTGTGAATAAAATTATACTGACCTTCCTCGATTGCTTCCTGCACCTTTTCCGCATCGGCAGATAAGTACAAATTTGTGAGATACGCTTTGAGGTAGCCAATTGGGCTTTTTCCACCAGTCATGCAAAACCTCTCAATGTTCAGACCTGTTGAGAGCCATGTAAAGTTTAGTGCAGCATCTACCACACCGACCATTTATGATTTGTTAACACCATCACTTTGCAACTCTAAGATTTATATGAAATACACCCTTATACATCCAAGGTCGTTACGAATACAGAATACATCTGCTTTTATATGGATGGGGGACATAGTAAAGCGTTTATCCTATTTATGTTTATCCACCCATTTTCGTCACAACTATATCTTATTTGGAGGATTGTGCAACACTATGATTGCCATGGCCATCATCATTGTAAATATGCCATCACCAATATCAACACCACCACTACCATGGTCACCATTATCACCAACAACAACTGTCGTTTATCACTATTAGTGATGTCACCACGGTGCTTGTGCCAGGCTTCGTGTACTTTAAAGCCACGTGAAATGTCGAAGATTCACTGGCAAAAGGTCACAGAACAGACCCAGATGCCATGGGTCAACTGAGATGACTGGCAGATTCTCCACCTGTGCTTCCCACTGTGCCAACTTGCTGCGTATTAGCCACCCAGTGCTCCGCTCATTGTTGTGAGCATTGCTCCTCCGCTCTCCGTTGTTGCTGGAGGGCGACAGCCTTCAAATGCCCAGTAGAGGCATTCACGAGCTTCCTCCACAAAAGCCCATCTTAACGCCACTGGTACCAGTCATCCGCAATTCCAATCAGCTCCACAATCTTCTGTCCCACATCAGTCCATCTCTTCTCTAGCCTGAGCAGCACCTGTTTTTCCCCCTCTATCCGGTCAAACAGAAGCTGCTTGGGCATGCAGTGGCTGGGCATGTGGGCTACAGGACCCGGCTAATGCAGCATCATCTGCCAGAGGAGCTCACTATTAGGACTATGTGCATATCTTTCAAGGATTCTTTCAAGGGTCTCGTTAAACCCAGTATTGATCGTAGGCAAGCCTGAGGGAATTTTTCAAACTGGCACCGATATTCCTGAAAGGGCTCCAGATTTCACAAGTATAGAGAAGGGAGGGCATAACTTTTTCTGAGAAGAGCCGGAGTTTCATATGGAGCAATAGACGAGGTTGCTTCCATACAGCATTATGCAGCTGAATAAATGATGCCACTTGATTTGGAGACCTGCGAAACCGCAGCTGGTCATAAGCACACTCCACAGGTACAGAAACGCTTCATTCTCTCCACTACTGCACCATCACTCATGGGGAGTGGAAGGGGATGATTCGATTACATAAAATATCCAGCAGGTGCTTTGTTTTTGTGGGGCTGATGATAAGGCCCCATCCCTCGGTAGCATTGCTCCAGGTTCTACAGCATTGTATCCAACTTCTTAGAGTGGGTGGCAATTATCAGATCTGCATACATAACATGGTTGACCGCAGCCGGGCATCGATCAGCCTGCCATTGGATTATATCTGTACCGGCGACCTCTGTATTGTAAATTCAGTGTACTAACCATTACACCACGGCAGCTCCTGTTTGCAATGTGTCTTTGTAATTTAGAGAGTAAGAATCTGAAAGTGTGAGTTATTAGCAACACGAGTGTCCAGCATGGCTTATTTAGAACACTCACCGTAATGGTTGATGCTGTTGATGAGTCTGACCCCAACTTGTGCGTGGTGATTGGTCATTAGCACCACATCAAATATCTGGTCACTGTCTGGGTAAAGATGGCGTAGTCGGATATTGACAGCCTCCAGGGCCTGTTGGAAACATAAATAACCTTTGTAAGTGGGATTAGTCGACAGTCAATTATATACACACATTTTTACTTCCTTATGTTGGTTGGGCTATCTAAAACCTATTTTAAAATGCACATGATGTTTAAATATTGTACTGACAAAATGCATAGGTATCCATGCCTCTCAATGTCCTTTTAAGTTCGATTTGTGCACGTTACAAATGTAATGATTAAACCTACAAAAAAATAAAACGTCATCCGGAATAGGTACCGAGTGGATATCGGAGTAAATGTACAATCATGGTAAATATGTGGTTACCCAACTAGAGCTGCACAGCATGTGGAGGGTTAGTTATACGTTGGAACTTTGAGGGGGTTGCATAATTTATACCATCGAGGAGAAAAGTAATATATCAATTAATGGTTTGTTGTCGGTGCAGATGCGAGTCCCACGACCAATTTTGACGAAATTTGGTCTAGTAGTACAGGCGTTTCTCGCTTAATGAGTGATCTGTCCGAGAATGCGCTATAATAAGGAATTTGAATTTGGACATTTGTTCGCAAAATGTTTATTTAGCGAGCGGAGATCAATTGATCGATGTGTCCCATGGCAGCAGGAGGTGCATGGCGGACCGCAGCTGTTTGCTTACGAGCTGTCCTGTTCTGAGTGAACCACGTGCTTGGTAATGTGGGGGAGGTGGTGTCAGCGCTGATTAATTTCAGACGCTAAGGGCAGGAAGTCACGCTCCATCTCGCATCCCCGCATGATTCAATTCCGAGCCAAGGAAAACATCAGTGACGAATGATATTTGAACCAGTGGTCCTGCATGGCCCTTGCTGCTCCCTCCACCACCTGACATCTACCATCAGACAACATCAATGCCAAGCACCTGCAAGCACTGTGGTTCTTCATCTGTGGTGTTACAGTTGATGTTTGATTACTTCATATTACGTCATAAAAAAAATTCTAATTTGCATTTATGTAAAAAAAAATGTTCAAGAGTGGAACATTTTGGGCCCGAAATGTAGCTCAGCTTATAACATGGGAGTCAATGGGGAAAAAAAATTAACCCGTAAAAACAAAGTTTTTCACTATAAATCCTTTATATGCGTGGCGGCTAGATTCCTCTCGTCCTCTGGCTTGAGATGGCTGCCACCTATGGGTCAGATGATTGTCTGGCAGCATTAAGCAATAGGTAATTAAATATTTATTTATTTTCCCCTAAACAGTGTAAAATTTAGGAAAAAAATATTTCCCGAAAATTAATTGTCACGCACAACGAGTCTGTGTGCAAAATGTCAGCTCGATTGGATCACGGGAAGTGGGTTAAAAAACGACCGAAAGATTTGCACGGTCATAAGCAAGCAAGCAAGCACGCAAGCATGCAAGCAAGCAAGCGAACTTAATAAAAATTAACCCGTAAAAACAAAGTTTTTCACTCAAAATCCTTTATATGCGGTGCGGCTAGAGTCCTCTCGTCCTCTGGCTTGAAATGGCTGCCACCTATGGGTCAGATGATTGTCTGCCAGCATTAAGAAATTTGTAATAAAATATTTATTTATTTTCCCCTAAACAGTGTAAAATTTAGGAAAAAAATTTTCGTGAAAATTTATTGTCACGCACAACGAGTCTGTGGAAAATGTCAGCTCGATTGGATCACGGGAAGTGGGTTAAAAAACGACCGAAAAATTTGCACGGTCGTAAGCAAGCAAGCAAGCGAACTTAATATAAAGGATTTAATAAAGGATTTAAAAACAACAAGCGTTTAACAAGTTTTCGTTTACTGAGCAATTTTCGTGAAACAAAACTCGCTCATTAAGTGAGACACACCTGTATTAGTAGTAAACCAAGATTTAGAGGCTACTGATAATTAACCCTTCTTTTGTGCATGTCTAATGCAAAAACCATGAGAAAGTTATGAACAACACCTCTAATTATCCGCACATCTGATTAGCAGTTGGCTACGTATGGTGTGAAATAAATTCAACATACATACATACATAGGCGATTTGGTATGTTGGTGGAAGAGACTTCCAAGGTTAAACTTTTTTAATTTCTAAACTTTGCCATCATCTAATTTATTGACTGAGCACATGCGCACCTCCATTTACATAGCAATGTGACAATGCTGGATATCACGAGATAAGCACTGTTGCAATTACATTTCAAATGCTGTGCAAATAGTTATGTCAAGAGGTCACGGGGCAGACCCAGGTGCCACGGGTCGACTGACTGAGATGACCGAGATGACTGGCTGATGCACAACCTGTGCCCCCTACTGTGCCAACTTGCTGTGCTTTAGCCACCCGGCGCTTCGCTCGTTGTTGTGAGCATCGCTCCTCCGCCCTCCGTTGTTGCTGGAGGGCGACTGCCTCCAACTGCCCAGTAGCGTCCTTCACGAGCCTCCTCCACAGAGGCCGATCTTGACACCGCTGGTACCAGTCATCGGCAAGTCCACTCAGCTCCACGTCCTCCTGTACCACATCACTCCATCTCTTCTCTAGCCCGTGCCGCTCCCGTTTAGCCTCCTCGATCTGGCCAAAGAAAAGCTGTTTAGGCATGCGGTGGCTGGGCATGCGGGCTACATGACCCAGCCAACGCAGCCTTGCCTGCCGGAGGAGCTCACCGATGGGACTTTGCCGAGATCTTTCAAGGATTTGTGAGCTCACACAATCCAGCCTGGTTAAACCCAGGATGGATCGTAGGCAGGCCAGCCTAAATGTTTCCAACCGGCGAAGATGATCCATTAGGGGGGTCCACGTTTCGCAAGCGTAGAGAAGGGAGGGAATGACTGTGGCCGAGAAGACCTGAAGCTTCGTGCGGAGCAACAGACCAGGTAGCTTCCACACAGCGTTACGCAGGTGGCTAGCGCGGCGGGGGGGAGCAGCCGGGCCGTTACCGCAACGCTACTGGGACCAGTGACGCCAATCGCCGAACCTGCACCGTCACCGCAGGCTGCCTTCATCATGGCAGCTGGGAACGGACCTCCAGCGTCTGAGCCAGAGCCATTGCTGCGGGAGGTCTACGCGGCAATCCAGGGGCTGCGGAGCAGAGAGACCAGGGGCGCGACCAGCCACCGCGCCACTGGCAGCCGCCTCTACAACACCGCGCCGAGCCACCTCGACGAAGCGCCCCATGGGTCTGCCACCGTTGAGGTCGAGAGGGGCATGTGTGCCGCACGGAGCCGGAGACAGCCAACTCCACCTGGAACCCGCCGGGGCCGAACACCGACAGGAACCAGGCGAGTGACACCATCCCGTCCGGGCTCCACCGTCCTAGTCGGTGGCCGGGGATCGCTACGGGGCCAGGGATCGCGACGGACCCGGGGCCGGGGACCGTGACGGGGACAGGGGCCGCGACGGGGATGGGAATCGAGTCACGGGCGGACGTGACGTCGCGGACGGAAGTGGCGTCGCAGTCGGAAGTAGCGTCGCGGTCGGGGGTGATGTCACGGCCGGAAGTGGCCTTGCGGCAGGAAGTGATATCATGGCCGGGGATGGCGTCACGGCCGGGGGTGATGTCACGGCCGGAGCCCACCCCACGTAACAAGGGCGCATTTACCCTGCTGCGACACACCCCAAAGAAGGGAACCCCATCTTTGGCCCGTTCACATCCATTCCCTGTCACCTCGCCATACACCACAGGATAGTGAGCCGCTGCCTGGTCAGTGGCCGGACTCAGCCATACAATGGAGGAAGCTGGCAAGGTGGGTGGTAGCGGCCGCGTTGGGAGCCTCGGTACTGGTCGGTGCAATCGTGGGAGTGTCAGCACACATCTTGGTTGACATGGGGGCATCGGCCACAATAATCTCGAGCACCATGCACGAGATGCTGCCGGATAAAAACCGGCCTTTAGTCCCCGTCAAGACGACGTTCATCGTAGCAAATGGAGGGAATATGGGCTTCCTGGGCTAGGTTGAAGCCTCGATGCAGATTGGGCAGCTTTCGGTAGCAGGACCCATCCTTGTCTCGGCAATGCTGCCCGTACCCTGCCTGTTGGGGACGGACTTTCTGAGGCAAATGCCTATGAAAATTTATCTGGCCAATGGGCGGGTGGAAGTCTAGGGAACACATCTCCATTTCCTAAAGGCGGAGGGGGCCGACCGGGGGGTACCCTACGTGCAGGCTCTGGTCCGTGAGTCTGTCTCCATTCCCCCGGCAGCCCAGATCCTGATACTGCTGCAATATTGGTCCTCCCTCGTGACAGCCTGGCCAGACTCACCCATCCTGGTGTCTCCGGCGCCAGCCGCCACGGATCACCACGCACTGGTGGGGGCCGAAACATTTGTCCAGGGGAAGCAACATCTGTTCATTCAAGTGCTGAACACCTCGAACAGAGCAGTGACGGTGCAGGTGGGAATGGTTCTGGCCCACGTTAGTCCCTTGTCACTAGGAGCCCCCGGGATGGGGCCAGAGCTTGTGGGAAGCATCAGTCAGTCCGAGGATAAAGGGGACGACTCGTGGATGGACCAGCTGGCGGGGCCTGAGCCGGATTTGCCGCCCGACCAGAAGCACCAGCTGCACTCATTACTGCAGGAATTCTCTGACGTGTTCAGCCGGTGACCGTTCGACCTAGGACGCATACATCTGTTGCAGCACAACATCAACACGCGAGACGCCGCACCCCTGCGCCAAAACACATAAAGAATGAGCCCAATGGAACAAGGGCACATACAGGAAATGCTGCAGGAGGACATAATTTCCCCATCCTCGTGTCCCTGGGGGGCACCGGTGGTCCTAGTCAAGAAATCAGATGGGTCACTGAGATTCTGCGTGGACTCAATACCGTCACGCTTGCCGACGCATATCCCATACCACGTATCAATGACTCACTTGATGCACTGGCAAGAGCAAAATTGAGCAGTACATTGGATTTATTATCCGGTTTCTGGCAGGTCCCACTGGACACAGACTCCCGGCCTAAAACAGCGTTCCGGGCACCACAGGGCCTGTTCAAGTTCAACTGCCTGCCTATGGGCCTCCAGACTGCACCGGCAACGTTCCAACGCTTAATGGAGTTGG